TATACTTTACATACCGGCAAATGGTCGGACAAAAAAAATTCGCGCGCTCGGAGGTGAATAATACTTGGCTAATCACCTACGAACTAGCCAATCAGCGTGCGCGAAAAGTACTATTCACTTGTGTGGTATATACTAATTAGGTGTATTATTGTTTGTCTCACGATGTAGTTATTTGAGACGTAGAGGTAAATTAATAACAGTGCAATATGCTTTGTTGACAGAACGTCAGTTTCAGTTACTATTTAGATTGTCTTACATTATTTCAATTTCACGAGAAAAGCAACTGAGACAAAACAACCACAACCACAACCAAAAAAAAAAAATCAAAACAAAACAAGATAAAAGGGTTAGTCATCTTGAACTGATTGTAAACTAACTAGCTGTCAATTTCTAACATCCCGCTTAGGACAAAATGAACTAATGTAATTTTGAAATTGACTTATCCTTCTTAAATCACAGCCTTGCAATTGTCGCACCCATATCAAAGAAAGTAATATTTGAAAACAATGAAAAAGGGAGAAGAGATCCTAATCGATACTTCTAACAGTTTTGAATTGTACCTATGCAGCGAGGATGCTCTCCGCTCCAGGTCCCATCAGCCTGACAAGTCCTTGTTGCTAATCCAACTAAACTGAATCCGGAATTACACGCGTAAGTCACAACAGTGTTGTAAGAATTCGCTGCAGTGCTTCGTGTTCCGTCTTGCAGTTCACCAGGAATGATGCAGTTTACCACTAAATAAGAGACAGGGGATGATAACACAGTTTATGGAAGTTTTACGAAGTTTTACGAAGCAAAATTAACAAATAACGAATGCGAATCGTTCCCTTTGTATTAGACTCACAATCACAACGAGGCTCTTTGCCAGACCAGGTACCATCAGCCAAACAAGTTCTTGCAGAAGCTCCTCTTAGGATGTAACCCACGTTACACTCAAATTTCACACTGCTGTCTACGGTTGTTGCGGGGCTGGCAGGATCAAGTTTTCCATTGCTGAAACTCGCAATCGCTGGGCAAGAACTCGCTGTGAGAGAATAAAGTTTCTCAAATATTTTTGTGATGACGAAGATTCAAAGTGTGCGAATTTATTAATTTACTTAAGCTTAACGCGCAGTTGGTCAAGCAGTCTTTTAGCAGTCAGTCAGTCAGTCGGTCAGTTAGTCTGTCAGTGTGTCTGTGTCTGTCTGTGAACCTGTCTGTCAGTCAGTCAGTCAGTCAGACAGTCACTCAGTTGGTCAGACAGACAGTCAGACAGACAGCGAGTCTGTCAATCCGTTTTGTAGGCCATGTCTATCTGTCCTGCTGTATCATAAGCCGGTCTGCCCTTTCTGTCTTTTCTCTGCTGTCCGTCACGTTCTGTCTGTCTCTCTGACTGTATCTCTATCTGTCTGTCGGTTAGTCATGATCAGACAGTCAGTCAGTCAGTCAGTCAGTAAGTAAGTCAGTCAGTCAGTCAGTGTTGAATATTTTAGAACGAAACCAAAATTTCCTTACCTGAACACGTTTTTCCATCACCGTTTAGGTTATACCCTGGTCGGCACAGACACTCATGTCCTAAGAGCGTGTTCACACAAATCTGTTCGCAGGGTCCTAATCCGCTATTACTGGAACACTCGTCGTCATCTGAAAGTCAAGGCATAGACAAAAAAGACAACGTTACGTCAGTAGAAGGACAGTTATATTAGTAATAAGCAAGGCCACAATGAGTGCATGCTTCGTATTGGGTATAGTGCGGCAATATAGTAAGTCATTCAGGAGACACAAAGGAGTTTTCACTGGCATGGTATGGATGTAATATGCAACTAAACATCTGAAAATGACAAATTAAAGAAAAGGAAAAGAAAAAAAAGAAAAAAGAAAAAGGTTTTACGTAATCCACATATGATTGCTTTTGGAAACAATCGCGCGTACGGGCAGTTGTGACAAATGCAAAATGATACAGAACTACAAAGCGTATTTGAGGCGACCAAATAATTCATCTTCCTCGTTTTAATAGTGTTAAATGTGGAAAGCACTCGTTAAGATACTATGGCCCTTTCCTCTGGTGGAAACTCACAAAGGAACTACGTGCTGAGGGCAGTCTGCGCAGATTCAAGTCTAAAATTAGGAAAACAGGCCTGACTGCATTAATTGAGGATGGCTGTAGAAATTGTATGCTTTGTAATAATTAATTTTGTTTGTTACTAAGCGACATTGTATTTGTATATAGGCTTTTAGGTTTTAGGTTTCATTATTTGTATCAATGTATTTAATTTTATCTTATTTTGTGTCACCAATTAGTGCTATGCGCGAGAGAATCCTGACACGTTGATAAAGTTCACTACCATTACTTACTACCTATTGTCAATAAAATAACATTCATCCCGACGTAAAGTTTGCTTGGGGCCAAGTGGGCTACCCGCGTGAGCTTATCCCGTTTCGGTAGTAGAAAGGCACTAGGAATATTTCAACTCCCTCTGGATAGGATACTACTCCATCACTTGGTTATTCCCCAGCATTAAATTTGCTGGTACCCATTTATACAGCTGGGTAGAGAGAGGCACTGACCAAGAACTCAAAACATCGACCACGGCCATGGCTCAAGTCCGGACAGCTTGATCCGGAGTTCAGCGCGCTGACCACTTGGACACCCGTGCCTCCCATACACCGATGAAAATGAGAACTTTATACTTCAAATTACCCGCACAAGATCGACCATCCGCCATTAATGTGTACCCTGATGCACAGGTACAGCGGTAGCTACCCACACTGTTATGACAACTTTGCTGGCAGTTTCCGTTGTTCGAGCTGCATTCGTCGATGTCTAAAATGAAAGCGGTGATATGCATGTCAGCATTAATTGATAATCCTGCTTGAGTGGTTATTTTTCAATTGTTTTACCTGCAACGGTTTCCTTTAACACAAACCAACAAAGACTGGCGACTAACGATTTGCACTTTGAACGCCGGAGGAAGCGAGAGAACAACGGTGAAGTCTGAGAGCACATGTGTCGAAAAGGAAGAAAAGATGGATTTGAATGAAGACAAGGACGACCTGGACGTTTGGTTGACTCAAAAAGTTAGAAAACAACTTGTATTTGTCCGGTGTTCGGTGTTTTTACAAAGAAATTCTACGAAAGGACTAATTTAGTGGGGGTGTGAAGCAGTTTTATGTTCCATCAGAAGCAAAGCTGATGTTGATAATGATAGCGCTGATAATGATGATGATGACGATGATGATGATAATGATGATAACCATGATAATGATGATGATGATGATGATGACGAGGCCGCTAATGAAAATGATCAACACCGACTCGAGCAGTTATTTCTAACTCATCAACGGAAGATAACATGTCACCTGAACAGGTTCCGTCGTTATTGACTGAATATCCCGCCTGACAGTCACATTTATAACCTCCATCAGTGTTGATGCATGTCTGTCCGCAGTTTGCTTTCCCTGTGCTACATTCATCTACGTCTGCAGTAAGACCAGACAATCCATTAATTAATATGCTTAATGAATGATTAAATGAGTTAACTTTTTTATAATTTTATTTATCACAGTATGCCGTGTTGTTTCAAAATACATATTACGATTTGCACGTAGTACTACGCTCGCGAAACAACTGAATTTCTACACAATGAATTTTCTAGCGGAAAATTTGCATTATGTGCGTGCAGAATGTCATCCGAACGGATAACAAATCAGCGATACGGTTACTTTTGTCAAATCAGCTCAGTTTGCAATCTCTTTACAGGTACGGTGATCAGTCACCATTGACCGATCATATGAAGCAGTCAGCTTTTTCATTCTTTGTCATGTCAATGTAAAATAATCTTTACCTATGCATTGTGGAACAGGCGCATCCCATTTTCCATCAACACAGTTCAGGGTTGCTGTTGAGCTAGCCTCATATCCAGAGTCACAGTATATAGTCATCTTGCCCCCAAGAGCTCGGCTACCACCGTATTTGCCATGCGCTATTTTACCTGGGCACGGACACTTCAACGCTGCATGGGGAGTGAATAAAATAAGGTTAGTTTAATGCCGGAAGAAAAAAGTGAAACAGTGTTTTCTTCCAGGTAATTCAACGGTACAGAGAACGCCAGTGAAACAACTGGGCGTCGACGCCTGGCAAGTGCAATAGTGTTGTTGTTGTTTGTTTTCGACTTGAAGTTGTTAAATGTAAATCAACTGTAAAGAGAGTTTGCGGAGCGGAAGTTTCGAGTGTGAACCCTTGCAGTCCTTGCCTCGCATTCTTGCAACGACGGCTGATTTACCGTCATCAAGTTCAAGCTGATTCAAAGTTATTCCTGGAACGTCCCTGGCCGATAACATTTCTTTGGTCTTTTTTTCTTTTTCAGAAGTCTTGTTAAGGTCGTACATGTTTCAGAAGTACAACGGGGAAATATGCTTTCGTCGTAACTATTTTTTTATTGCAAATTTTGTCGAGTGTTCAAAAAACTGGGGATAACTAAGCCAAATATCTTACAAAATATCAATTTTGCTGCGGCCAAAATATTTGAAACAATGTTACATGTGGCCAGGGGCCTGTTTCTCGAAAGACCCGGTAAATTATCGGGCCCGGTAAGTCACCCGGTAAGTCCCCGTAAACTTTGCGGGTGTTTCTCGAAGTTCCCGTTATTTTCGATCCCGTTAAATATCCCGGTAACTTGCCCGGTAATTTACTGGAGGTCGTGACCTCCCGTAAAGTTACCGAGAAGTCACAAATGTTGCAAAACCAAACAAAATGGCGGCCGGAGGCGGACTTTTTTGTTTCACGGTCTTATCATAGACGCCCCTTTCTAGCCGATATGGCTGACTGCGAAATCATTGAACGATTTCGGCTCTCACGAGCAAGAATGGAGTGGCTCGTTGAGGAGCTTAAGGAGGAATTGGAGAGANATATGACCATGCAAAATGACGATCTCTCTCAGTTGCTCTCCTTTGACACAACGATAACTTCGAAGTTAAACTTCGCAGTGTTCTTCAAAAAGCATCACAATCGCAACGACAACAGAATCGATCAGAATTGAATGTGCACGTATAGTCCCAAGTGTTTCTCCTTCTCTCGCGAACGAGCGTGAAGTGTGCGCTAGAGATTGGTAACAACCCGCTATTTTATCGGGCCCGGTAAGTACCTGGAAAATTTTACGGGTGCCTCGAGAAACGTTGCTTCGGGCCCGGTAAAGTTTCCCGTTAACCGGCCCGGTAAGTTATCGGGCCCGGTATTTACGGGAGCTTTCGAGAAATAGGCCCCAGATGTTATCGGAACCAGGTAGTAAAATTTAATAATCTACCAAGCACCATGAAATATTTATTTTGTCTGCATTCTACTTTGAGCCAATGAATTTAGCTGTGTCCAAAAGTGTCCAAAACGGCATCGCTTGAATAGACGGATCAAGCTAACTTGTTTATATCCCTGCTGCCACCCAATTCAGATCTTCTGATGATTCATTCGGGAAGTTACAATTGCCGTGTTTGTACATACTCCCATGCAATCAGTTGTGTGTGGGAAATTACACATTTGTATACGTAACCCCCCAAATGAATCATCACGTGGTCTGAATTGGGTGCCAACAGGGATGTAAACACGTTAGCCGAATCCGTTTATTAAACAATAAAGTTATTTGTTCCATCGTGTACATGGAAAAGCATCTTTTTGTTGATCTACATCATCGTACCTGTGTCGCAATGACGACCTTCGTATCCTTTGTTGCAGGTACACTTGTAACCAACTGGAAGAGTCACGCATGTGCCATGGGCTCCACATGGGTTACTGCTACAAGCGCTGTTTGCTGTAAACGTAGAAAATCTTCTTGTTAGTTGTGCTGTAGCAGCGAGTGATAGGTTTTCTAGCTAACGCCCGGGTAGGGAACTTCCATATAAAAAGGTCGGGGATGCCCGTCGGAAAATTTGAATTAATCCCCTACAAGGAGAGCAATGTGGACGTGACTCAAGCTTTATTTGACCCCTAAAAGATACCAACTGAAACTAAATGGTAGAATTTTTTATTATTTCTTCGAGTGTACCCTAAACGATTCTGCGGGGGCTACAAGCAGCGGTATTTCGTCCTAAACACCCCAAGTGAGACCCGAAATCCTTGATTTCTACCCGAGCATCCCCGACCTTTTCGTGAGCTCAAAACGTGACGCTATGAATTAGACATATTAATCATTTCTTGCACGGATAGTGTTGGGAAGCATCAAATTTTGAAGTAATTATTTCCTCGTAGCTTGGCAGATTTTGTGTTTGGATGCTTAAAAATAAGAAAATAAAATTGAACAGGCTAGAAAATAAGAAAAGCTCCAAAAATCAAACTGCTAACCTGGGCACGTGCAAACATAACGAACTTTAAAATCAGGACAGCTTCTTCCCGTTCTTTGATCGCTATTCAAACACGTGATTCCACTATCTGAGCACGTGCTTGTCAAATTCAGCTCAAGGTCAGGCATCGATCTTCCTTCAATATCCTGACAATCGTAAAAACCCGGTCCCGCGCAGGCGCCCGCACGAGTTTCCGCATCTCCATCACCAGTTCCTGGGGAGTCTTTGTTTAGCCAGTTCGTCCAACATTTGTTCTCTGGAAGAAATCCAACAAAATTTCATTAGAAACAAAGTCTGCTTATCTGCTTAAAGTTTGCTTATTTACAAAATTGTTCCAGTTGTGAATACCACCAATTACTCTCCAGTGTGCTGACAACTTTTGGTTGCTTATAAATTTAGCGACTTCATACTACTAGTCCAGTTCTCATCTAGTTTAAATTTGAATCGAATGGCTGCTTACATGTAAGTACTGCGTCCGCATGGGCGTAGGTCAGATTACTTGCATGGGGGAGGAATGGAAGGGATTATATTAAGTAATTAATTGGCAAACACATCCTAATCACCGACAGCACTGGAGGAACGCGATATAACTGGATCATAAGTGCACTGTGGAAAACAAAAATAATTCATTAATTGCCAAAACTAGGTAAACGTTGGGAGGAAGAAATGGACTGAGCAAAATGAATTGAGGTCCGCAAGAAAGGCAAGAAGTAACCGGGTTCAGCCGTATGAAGTTTTCTTTACGTGACAGGGGAGACAAGAAAGCTTACCAGTTCGCGCCACGGACGGTTCAATCTTCTTTATACCGGCATCTGCAGGATCGTAGAAGTCAGACCATCCAATAACATTTCCAATAAAGTTTTCAGCATGTCTTCCCATGTCAGCGATATCTGAAGCAGGAAGCTCGTAACTCCAAATATTCAGCTGGCTCATTTGACCAATGAACGCTTCATTGGCGCTAAAGTTTGCAGCAAGTTCATCTTGTTCTTGTCCAAGGACGTAGAATCCTCCCGATGCAATGACCTAGGAAAAAATAGAAACGATCCACGGATCAGATAGACGATTAGGTAGACGATTTCGAACCGTTTAAAAAGCAAAACTGACGAGGAATTCCGAATAAAAAAGATCACTCCCATTCATTCCTGTCCATTACTCAACGAGGCAATTGTGTTTAAAAGTCTTTTCATGACTTGTATAATGTGCTTGAAAGGGGCACTATTATGAGGAAACATTGGAAAAGTCGAACCCCGAAAGGCATATTTCAATTAGTTTTTGAAAAAGATTCTTGTATAGGTGCACTGAAGGTAGATTGTGTTGTAATGCGAGTTGCACATGAGAGAGATTGTGATATTAGATTCTGAAAAACGCTTGCAGGCGTTTAAAAATTTTGTCACGCCATCTCGAAAATAAACGTTAAACACTGATTACAGTTTGCCCTTCTTTCAACAATTCCCTTAATATCTTCAAAGTGGCGCAAGTAAAGTATGTATAGTATTAGGAGTAAAAGTACGTGTATTCTTAGGCAGTACTTTTAGCACTGCTTGGACCAGAAATGTAACAAAACTGCTATTATGGTTTAGAATAGAGAGATGTACAAACGCACCCGGAACCTACTGTCTATCGTGGTCTAAGGCATTTGTAAGGTACTAAGTGTCATGAAATCACACACCTGCCCCTTTTGAAATACATCGTTGGCAACATTGTTTTCTCTGACTTTGCTTCCGTCCTTGTACACTTTCCACGCTCCTGTTGAACTCAGCCATGTGAATGCCATGTGATGCCACTGGCCATCATTTGCCGCTACGTTTGTCGCAGCCTTTTGTCCATTGACCCAAATGTTAAACCCATTGTAGTCGTGAATTACAAAGGCATTGTCCTGAACGGTGGCTGAAGAACAGAAAAATGAAAAATAAACTTTTGGTCAGACGAGTCTAACATGCCAAAAGTTCGATACTTCTATTGCTTTGACCATTGTCATCCAGTTACAAGTACAGTCAAGCCTCCCTTAATTTGACAGCTGTTGCGGGGGCGTGAACGGCCGGTTAACAGCTTGTTGTCAAGTTTGTTAGGCTATATTTATTAAACTGGCTCGACACGCTTTAATTTCGACTTTTCAAGGAAACTTAAGGTGAACGTCTGAGAAGCTTTCTCCCTTTCAGGTCACCACACCTGTATCAATCTGCATTTCAAAAATACCTTCAAATTTAATAAGCAAAGTACCTCCTTCTTGTACAGCGTACGAGATGGGCGTTCCCGGATCTAGCTGGTTCTGAGCAACCTTCATCCAGAAAGCCACAGTAACTGCTCTTAACTCTTGACGCATCTCCACAATGGACGTTCCTCGACCCAGTTCTCTATTAAACTCCATGTCAAAATCAGTGGAAATTTCTATATTAACACAAAAAATTCTAAGATAAAGATAAAAATATCACGACAAACAATATATTCATTTGTCATATTTGTTTTTCAACAAGCAGTCATGTAAATTGAGTACATTGTTTGCTTTCGCTTTGCTCCGTGGACTGACTCAGTGGGATAAATAAAAATTTGGATTAATCTTTCATTGTATTCGCCTAGCTTTTCCTTTCGTTTTGACAAATAATGGTAACAAACAAATTATCCATTTATATCGGCCTTTGAACGAATGGGTTTGTTTTATAATTTTATTGTTTATGAGCTTCCAAAAACAAATGCAATGCAATGCAATGTAATGCAACGTAACGTAACGCAACGCAAAGCAACGCAGCGCGATGCAACGCAATGCAACGCAACGCAATGTAATTCAATGCGATGCGATGCGATTCGATGCGATATGTATTACGAGATTATAAAAATACCTGTCTCGCAGTTTGTGCCTTTAAAGGAAGGCTTACAGTAGCATTTATAGCCATTCGTCTGGTCGACACAGAGTCCGTTGTTCTGGCAAGGCGTGCTGGAGCATTCATTGATGTTGATTTCGCATGTTGAGCCTTCAAAACCTGCCGCACAACTACATTCGTGACCATAACTAGTTTCCTGGCAAGTTGCGCCGTTCAGGCAGGAGTCTGGGAGACAGGCGTTGTCTTTCTTTTCGCACAGATTACCGCTGAAACCTGTCTTGCAGACGCACCTGAATGCTTGGACCTCGTTCAAACATGTTCCACCATTAAGGCAAGGTGAAGTTTTACAGTCCTAGGACATGGAACAAAATGATAATATAAAAACCTCACTAAATGAAAGTTAACAAGCCCCTCATTATTTAAACAAAAGCCTGCCAAGCTGGCTTTCACTACCAATTTCAAGTTAAGTTTTTGATTACGTAAATAAATAGTTCGTTCTAACCTCTTTACAGTATTTGCAACATAACAGATCTTTTCTGACTTACTTTTAAAATAAATTTTGGGCACTTTAGACACGCGTTAAAATTCCAGAAAATTTTGCAGACCAAGACAGTCATGGCCTCGTTCTGAATTATTAGTTAATTTCTCTCACTCTTCGTAAGGTACTTCTACAGGCTCTATCAAAATATCCCTTTTTCATGTAAGTGGAAAAAAAAAAAAAAAAAAGAAACAACAACAACAACAACAACGAAAACAACAGAAAAACTAGCAAAGAAAACCAATGCGTAAATATTTTTAGTGAGCAAGTTTAAGGACAAGGGAGTGTGTTCATTGACAAAAAGAAAAAAATGCCAGACCGCACTTCCTGTGTAGGGATTTTCTTCTCTCTCCTCCGCAGAGGCTCCTTTTAGTTTTGTATTTCTTTAACCATGTATGCTGGCGGTGAAAGAACGGACAAAAAGCCCACAGAGAGCCCTCGTTTCCCCTTGCTAACCTCATCTTACCCCCGTATAGGGAACCTCTTCGACGTAGGAGAGAGGAAGGTCATTCGATTGCTAACAGTACTTTCTTTTTAATCGATCAGCCGAAGTCCACCGAATACTTCTTAAAATTCGCAAATAGATTTTCAAACTTAAAATACAGATTGACCTACTAAAATACAGATCTTACAGTATATAACATACGTTGATTTTAGTCTCACAGAACTGCCCTTCGTATCCGTCGGGACAAACGCAGTCGTGTCCATCTGGTGAATTGACGCAGGTTGAGCCACTAGCACACTTGTTACTGTTGCAGCTGCTCGTTTTTACGTCACAATGTATCCCACTATAGTCTGGTGGGCACAAGCAAACATACCCATTCACCTGTAGAACAATTCATGATTAGTTATATGCACTGAGTGTTCTACTCCGGATCGAGGTAGTCCGGGTTCGAGCCCTGTCCGGGGATATTGTTCTGTGTTCTTGAGCAAGTCACTTGACTCTCACAGCGCCTTTCTCCACCCCGATGTAAAAATGAGTACCGGCGAATTCAATGCCGGGGGTAACCCTGCGATGGACTAGAATCCCTTTCCAGGGGGTAATAGAAATATTCGTAGCCCTTTCATGCTACAGAACCCGGGATAAGCTCTGGCCTAAAGGGCCACTTGGCTCGCATGCAGACTTTACTTTTCTTTTACTTTTACTTAGTGCACAACACGACCGGATCCAAGAAACTATAGTGAAACAATGCTATCTTTAGGGCAAAATCCCACTGTCCTGAACTTAAGATCATTTTCTTTTGTAGACTCTTTCGAACTATCTTTCTGTTCCCCTTGAGAGTTGCAAATAGCGGGGATCAGCCTCAGTTACATACAATGTATGCCACCGTAGCCCCAGGAAACGAATTGCCTGGGGTTCCGCATACCTTATCAACACAGGTTGCTCCTTTAGCACACGGGCTTGATACACATTCATCCTCATCTATCTCGCAGTTAGGTCCAGTAAATCCTGGCTGGCACACGCATTTGTAGCCATCTGCGTCCTCAACGCACACGGCGTCGTTGTTGCAGGGGTTTGATGCGCAACTCGCGATGTCTGTAAAACAGAATCGAAAATACAGTAGAAGTCAGTGAAACTAAGAGCTGATTTAATCATTTTGATCTGAGTATTTTTCAAGACATTTCACAGCAACACGTTTCACCAGGACTTGCTCAGTGAAATTAAAACTTTTAACAGCTGCTTATTCATTCCTGGCGGAAATTTTGATGTTCAACTGTTTCTTTTTTCGCGCCACTTGACATTGGCATTGCAGCGGCATTTTTCATGCAAGTAAAGCCAAATTTCGTTTTAGTAATTATTTCAGTTAGTACCTTCTTCATTCCATTATCATTATGGACTAATTTTCCATCAATTAAGAATATAGAGCACGCTGCAAAATATCAATTATACCAAAAATGCCTTAGTACATCGAAAATCCCTCTTGACTCGCGTTTGTTGTACCTCCAAGGGTTAGCAGAAGGATCTACTGTCATTTTCTTGGTTTATATAATCCTCCTGGCTATTCTATTTACTTTAGATTTGCTTTGCCTCCATTGCAGTGGATATAACTCACCGACACACTGGCTCGTAGACGAGGCGCCCTCTCCGTAAGTTGATTTGCTACCATCGCAGCGTAGGCAGGATGTTTGCTTCTTTGCCGACTGATACGTTCCTCGAGCGCAGGGAAGGCAGGGTTCCACGCCGGTCTGAGAATATGTTCCTGGGGCACACGGCACTGAAAGAAATCAACCATTCCCCGTGCGTGTCTGGAGCCATACTACTCTTAACTCCAATTTGGATTGACGAGATATAACAATTATTAGAGGTGTGATGGAAGAATGTTTCCTGAACATTTCTCCTGCTATCTTATTGTATATAATATTCTTGACTGATGAGTTAAAAAAACAAGGGGACGCGATTCTTTCAGCAAGCTCATGCGCCGCACATGTGCTAACGGCAAAGAGACTTCAGAAAGTTGCAACGACTGTGGATGGAGGATGAAATGATCACGAAGTAGGAAATTTACTTTTCTTTTAGTCGAGGGTATATTGCAACGCCTGAAAACTGGAGTTGAGTACAGTCCATCCCGTTCTCACCTTTCTCTCGGCCTTGTTGGAATCGGGTTGTTTATTGTTTTCTATAATGACAAAAGAAAAACTTACTTCCACATCCACTGATTGATTTGGTGCCTTCTCCTAAGGTTACCGATGATCCGGGACATTGAATACACGAGGTTTGGCGTAAAAGAGACTGGTAAGTATTGACGGGGCACGGTTCACAATTGGCGAGACCGGTTGGTGAAAATTCGCCCGCTTGACACGCAGCTTTAAGAAAAAGAAAACAAAAAAAGGAATAATAATCTTGTATTGTGGAGGTTTCGACGCCGTGCTACTAAAGTTACAATAATAACTGAGAGTTAGGTTTTTCCGTAAAAATCTCAATTCGAGACCTTTCTGTATTGGACGGATGGCCGAGGTTTGAGATTTTCTCGTAAAGACCGAACGTTCGAGGTTAATTAGTTGTTTATTATATGGCTTTTTGCTTTGTATTTGCAGGCCCATAATCGGCCGGTGGGCATTATGGGACAATAATGCTCTAGATTAAGCCAATCAGAGCGCGCATTATATCGGCTACAAACAGAAGCTATATTTAATAAAGTTTGTTAAAGCATCAGTATGTCACTGGATAAAACACGTGGTTTCTGTCCTCGGCCAAAAATGCTGGGACACTTGTTTTGGATTGTAATGGTTTAAGTTCACAAACTTATCTAAAGAGGGGAAAGTGCTTTAGAGCTTATACAAGTAAGAAAAATAATAATAAATCTAAAATCTATCTGCAATTAAAATCTAAAATGTGGAAAACTTAACAATTATTCATTGAAATCGAGGTGAATAGTGGCAGAATATTTTTATAGTTCTTGGCCTTTTTACTAGTTCATTGGCTGAAGCATCCGCAAGTGCTATTCAACGAAGCACCTTCACGTCTTTGTCCAAGAAAACATTCAGTTTTCACCAAAGTTCTCCGCACATGGTATAATTTGTGGTTGATACTGAGACATCCTTCGCAGGACTTTAGGGAAAAACTGAATGTTTTCTTGCACAACGACGTGGAAGTGCTTCGTTGGTGCTTCGCTAAATAGCACTTGACGTTTCTGCCGATTAACTAGCTTGTAAAAAGACTAAGAACTATAAAAATGGTTGGATTTGTTAAACACATACCTAAACATTGCGTAATGTTTTTGCTGCCCACAGCAATAGTATAGGTCTTCTCTGGACAAACTGTGCACTGGCCTACTTTACCAGTGCCACCGTTGTACTGATTTAGTGGGCAATCCGTGCAGTTTCCAGAGACGGTGTCAAAGAATGTTCCAGATGGACAGTTTTCTAACGGGAGAAAAGGTCGAGAAAGTCAGATCAGCACAGTGCAGTTAGTTTTTCAATGAAAACGTTTACCTCAAATTTATGCTTCATCACCAATGTTGATTTATTAATGCTGTGTTTGGGTGTTGCTCTTGATTCTCGGGTTTCATAATAACGGAGTAATAACGTATTATAGAGCGGTTGTAATTTGAGTATCGAAAGGATTCGCTGTTTACGTTGGTTTTGCACTCTACGCTGACTGATTAGTCAGGAAAAAAAGGCACGCCACTTCCTCAGTTAGTGAGAAATTCAGATTGACTGAATGAAAATTGACTGGCTGGTAGACGTTTTCCCGTGTCTTTCAATTTATGACTAGCCTGGTAACAGGCCTGCCACCTCTCCCGCCCCGATCGCTTCGCTCTCCGCGGCGAACTCTTCAGTTTCGTGCTCGCAGAATTGTTTTTCCGTCCTCGCCAGGAGCCTGTTCGCAGGCTAATTTATGACTGACAAAAGTAATTTTACTGTTTGATTTTAGAGCGGTTTTTAATTGAGTGTGGTAAAACGAAAAAATTCACGTTTGTCAGTTATCAATTAAAGGACACTTAATTGACAAAAGCCCTCTTAGAGGACATGTGGTTACTGAATAGCGAATAACCACAATGGTGCAAAAAAGAGTAGCAGAGTTTTAGTTTCTATTGCAAAATATTAGTTTTGAAATCTAAATGCTTAACACATATGTTCTCTCCATCACTATGGGTAGCGTTATGTACCTTTTTACGATGCGAGGACGGGAAGGCCAGGACGGTAACGGCAGTGGAAGCGGGAAACTTTCGCTAGTCCCGTCGTGTCGCCAAAGACAAAATGTATTTTTCATATAGGACGGTGACGTCAATGACTCGTGCCACATAAAAGGTTTTTCACAAAACCAATGACATCCCTTAGAGATGGCAGACGTGATCTTATCCTATTGAGCTTAAACGATGGTGCACAGACGACGCTGAAATAATTCTTTTTTATATACGCTTATATGAGGTTGCGGATTTTGCAGATAGTGACAGTGATGAAAAGAGCGCAAGGTGGAAAAAAAGAATGTGAAGTCTTGCCGATTCGGTTACAGAAGGATGTATGAATGTGGTGCGACTGCTCCAATTGCGCTAAGATAATCACCTAATCGTCAGAGAATGACACTTAGAACCAGTTGAATATTCCGCTTTGTGCTATGCCATAAAAAATGCAGCCAATCAGAATACAGGAAAACCATTGTATATTCGACCGTGATATTACATCCAACCTTCCCATCATGCGTTGCGTTGATTATGTTGGACACTGTATTTCTCACGGCATGGCATGGAATAGTTATGCAACACTCTCTCATGATATGCCATGAAATATCCCACTTGTCACTTTTATTTCCTTGTCATACGTTGTCGCATAAAGGCTCGTGTCTATACCGAGGAAATATTCCACGGTATATCACTCAAAAGTGGTGCATAACTAGTGTGTATCTGTGAAGCAATATAATCACATTGAGGTACTATGAAGTGCTTTTTACTACAGGCGTTTGAAGACTTACGGCATTTCTGACTGTGACCCACGTCCTGGTTAAGTCCATAAACGCTTCCATCGACGCACACGCCAATAGTAGGGGTTTCATATACGGTGTTCAAACTCATGGTCTCTGAGTTGGAAACTTGGATAGTTTTCATTGTTGGAGCGCCCTTTGCAACAGTCACGTTACCCTCCAACGAGCTCTTGGCTTGAGCAAAGTCATCGTTTTGTGTAATAACCGACACATCCAATGTGATGGTAATGACAGACTGAAAAAATTAGAATAACTCAAAAAACAGAGGTAATTGAAAACCCAGACACGCTGACACACAAGAAGCAATCTGCAGACACAGAGACGAGCAGATGCGCCGATGAACCAGGCAAAACTAGGCAATTGCAAGTTCAATTTGGCAAGAAAAAGGGTCCTCCTAATCTGAGACTTACAAGAAATAAAAGGCCTCGTATGCGATAAAATTTCAACCTTTACACAATTACTAGCTGTGGTTTCCGCTCGAAACCTGGACCTCGATCTGCATGCACATCCAAAGCACTACTGAATTAGCGCACTTAGGTAGGAATTACGAAATAAGTTACTTTTTTTCAGGGATGCGAGGCCGGGTATACAGTAATGTAAATGATTCTGTTTTGTGCTTTCCAGACTTACTTGCGCATTTCGTCGCTTTCTTCTTTGGGTCTTGCCACAAGTGATTACGATATTATCCAGTTCACAGATTTTTTCCTTTTGGCAAAACTCGGGATCGCCCGCTCCAAAGACTTCGTTAAATCCAATAATGAAATTATTCTTGGCTTGCAGCTGTACCGCGGGATCCGAACAGTCTCCAACAAAATATTGCCACTCCATGCCCTTACGTGCTGCGCCAGGAACGTACTCCTCTGAAAAGAGAACAAACATTACCCGCCTTGTCTTCGTTAAAGGCCCGAGTGCGTTTCAAAGTTAGGCAATTGAAACAAAAATCAAAGAGCATTTAATTGTCTCGCGTTCTCTTTCACGTGTGTTATCATTAACTGGTACTGTTAATTATTTTTAGCTTTTTTTCATTTTCTCTCTAGTTTTTTTAAAATCATTCACTTAACTATATGTGTTTGTATCTTGTTTTTTTTGTGAGTGTTTTTTGTTTTTCTCTTTGATAATGCATAGTGGTATCAAAGTAAAACATAGTTTTCTTACTATACTGAGAAGCTTTTCTTCATAATTAAGTTAATTGTTTTTATGCTATTTTTTCTGTTTTTGCAAATCTGGCAAGTTAACTAGGCTGTTTTGACCAAATATGAGATTTTTCTACAAGTTACAAATTTGTCAAGAATTTAGTTAATCACCGTTTTTAACATTTTTGGTTTGTAGTTTTAACACTAAAGTAAATTAACTTCTTCAACAAATGTGTATTTTGAAACTGAAGACGTCATAAACTGTCAGAGTCCGTTATCCTGGTTCTGCCATTTAGGCTAGTTTTAGAAAGTGAAAAAAAGAAAAAAAAAAAAAAAGCAAAACANGAAAAAAAAAAAAAAAAAAAAAAAGCAAAACAAAAGAAACAAAACCTACATACACCACAAATTATTTCTCAATGAAGGCCGTTCGATTCTTTCTTAAACTATAATTTACACATTAATGAACAGAGTCTTGTCGAACTGGGCAATACCTCATGTATTCCAGCGGCGAATCCAGCGGACGAGTGGGACTATAGTAGTTATCGTTTGTAATGGTAGGATTGGGAAGTGGTTGGTGGTAGGGCGGGAGGAGGGGGAGAGATTGAAACTAGTACACTTTATTGCATTTAAGTGATCTGGAGGCCCAAGGTATTCTCTTACGTTAGCTATTTGGACCCCATCCTTGTGTGTTTATAGTCGAGACTCACTACGTACCTGTGCAGTCTGGCCATGGCATTTCCTGTGACACGGTCGGACGGATATCCCAGACGTACCAAGTACCAGTCGGCTGACAGACGTAAAATTGTGCGGGAATTCGTGCAAATTCTTTTGTGCTAGTACACTGAGGAGTGCACGATTCTCCGCCAAAAATCTCTGAGCACGAAATCAGTCCGTTGATTGGTGGATCATAGGGTTTGCATTTGACAGCTGTGAAAGAGACAAACGTGATTACACGTGGAACCAACTTTAGTCTCAGAAATGGATAAAGCAATTAAGCGTCAAATACCATATTTCATTGTATAAAACTTAGTGATATACCGAGTGGTAGCAAATCGATAAAAACGCGATCCCATATGTGAGGATATCATTTTTATCCAGTCTGATATCTTTTTTGGCATCATTCTGACCCTTTGACGGTACTTTAATTTACCGTTAAGATGTATATAATTAAAATCTTTTGGTGTATGACCAAAACATCTTCTGATGTTTTTGGGAAGTCTTCGGTAATCTTCGGGTCTCTACGGACATTTTGGGGGAAAAATGCGGAGACGTTCGTGCGGCCTACGGATAACTTTTAGAAAATCTTCGGTAAAAGGTCAGAAATCTTCGGAAAATCGCTAAAAACGTTGTTATTAGTATGCTTATGTATTATGGAAATTTTATTTTATAAGAAGAAAATTACATGGTCGCTTGGAGATTCAAATTTTCTCTTCCCATGTTGAACACTCGAAAGTAAATTTCTTATCTCCTCGCGGCCATTATCATTGTGTTCTGAGCCGAGAGAGTCAAAACGATTCCCCGCGTTTTCATCGGAAATTGACAGACTGAATAATCAGAGTTCAATTTGCATACAAGAATGAGTAAACTGGAAAATATTGAATTTGTCTAGGTAATCAAATAATTTCGAATGCAATTTGGAATAAACAGGTACAAGCAAATTCTTAGCAAGACCGGACTAAACAAAATTGCGCGAGCCCGTAGGGCGAGTGCAATTATTATTTGTAGTCTTTGAAAAATGTACGAGCGCTTATTTATTAACAATTATTCCACGAGCGCGCGTTGGATGTGAGATGGCAGATAGCCGACGAGGCGCGTAGCTCCGAGTTGGCTTTAATCATTTCATATCCAACAAGCGAGAGTAGAACAATTGTTTTTATTGAAAACGCCCTCAAAATGCAGAAAATTAAACTAAAATGAAAATAAAAACGCCCCAAGAAATCACGCGCACGCTTACCACATTTGTAGAGCATGGTATAATGGCTCATAACCCATGATGGTTAAGCCAATGAAAACTCTCGAATAGCATTATCCAATGATCCAGTTTTTGCTAATTCAAAATAGACCATTTTAAAGTTGTCTGTTAAGTGGCCTGGCCTTTGAATGGTAGCAAGGCTGCGGGTGACCTTGTTTTGATAAAGATCAGACTGCTTTTGTTGTGTAAGTCAAGTTGTTCTTGTGTTAACTAGTTGGCATTTAAATAAGAATAGCAGAGAGGTGTGTATCAAAGCAAGGTCTCCTCCAGCCTCGCTCGTATTTACAGGCCAGGTAAAAAAAGCACACAACTGTAAAATGGCCTATTGGACGAGAAAAATGATTTGATTTAGTACTTGTTAATAGCATACATGCAATTGAAGTTCAACTTACTACATTCAATTTCAACGTTCTGCACTGTTTGAGATTAATCGATGTGTTCTCAGCAAATCAGCATGCCGAAATCTTTGCATACGCATATATCATAATATAGGACATAACATAGTTATCAGAACACGTGCTTACAAGAAACGACGATGACAAAAGTACACGTCGCTTTATTTCCCACTTGATCTGTAGCTTCGTATTGAATCGTATACGATCCAGTTCTAAAATCAGAACCGTTAATGGACTCAGTGAAAATGGTGACCGGCTGGCCGGAATTGTCTCTGTATGTCGGAGGTTGCCAGTAGACTTTAATGGTTGGGTTGTCACTCTGTTTCTTGACCTCTTGGTTTTGTGGACAGTAGAGAATAGGAGGCTCGTTGTCTAAATAAACAGACATCACCATAAGGAATAAAACCATGACTGTCATTACAATGTCGCTTCAGCATAGAGAGGTTTTTAATTGAGTGTCGTAAAACCAAACCCATAGTACTCTACTGTACACTTCCCTGACGCCCTTACATTTTAGATGCAACATTTGCTTAGTGTATGTTATCGTTACATGTTGCCAGATTTTATTTGATGAGCTACAGTGCAGTACTTAAATGTATATCAAACCATTAGAATTCCGAGACCCGCCTAATTTCGAGCAATCAATTTCTTGTTACAAGCTCCCCTTGATCCTGTTTTCGACATTAGGAAATTTAAATTAACACAGCGGCGACGTTGAGGTAAAAAATTCGACTGAAAAATGAATTTCTATTTAACCTGCCATACCCTAACTAGAGTCACTCAGTTTGTCTATAACTGTCAGAGCTATCGCAAAACTGAATATGTAAGACGGCGTGGAATTCGAAAATAAATTAAAAAATTGGCTGTCTTGACTCGAGTTCTCTAGACTGCGCCTGATTTGGTCATTTTACGTTGTTGATTTGTAGAGAGCTGCAAAGAAATGTACCATTATTTATAACGCACGTACACAGCTATTGTTTTGCTCGGCTGTTATGCCTTACCGTTTTAGTTTGCCGTGAAACCCAAGAAAAGCTCCCAAATAGTTGACTGAAACGTCTAAAAACGATCACGGCACTTGAAATGACCATCAACTGATTATTGTCAAAAACAAATAGACTCACCAACAACAGTGACTGTGAAAACGCATGAACTAGAGTGATTGCTCCGGTCGGTGGCAGTATAGGTAATGCGAGTTACGCCGACGGGAAAGTCGTAGGGAGATGTGATGTGACTCGGAGATCTGACAACCGTCGGGGCAGCATTGGGGTCGTGCAACATTGAATTGTCACTAACAACAGGGTCGTTCCAGGCTACTGTCCTAGTTGGACGCTCGGGATCTGTGCCATTACTTGAGTCTGGCGGACAAGTAATGGTTGGAGGCTGCTGGTCTGTAAGAAAAAAAAAATGAACATGACGTGAGGATGCAAGCATGTTGAAAGTTAAAACGTAAGAGAAACCGATTGAGTAGAACTTTATTGTTATTTCATGGGTCCGCACTTTATTCTCCTTGGGGATGGGGGCGGGGAGAAGGGGTAGAGGGAGGAGATAGCAGCGTCTATATTTCGGTGACAGCGATGCTAGTTGTAAGGATTGAAAATCGTCCTTTGGTACTGCATAAGGTATTTCAAGATATCCCATTTAAAATGCAAATTATTTCATTATGATTTGTCTGGGCGTGAACTCTCACTCACTGCCAGCTCCCCGCCACTTCCACCCTCTCGGGGTTAAAAATAACAATAGCCCCGAAAAGTTCCTATATAACAAAACAAGCATCCGTTTACGTTGCTTTCATGTTATAGACTGGATGGTGTTAGGTTAACTGCTGAGAACTGGTCAGACTGATAACTGTCACCTGAGGAATAAAGCGTTTTTTTTTGTTTTTTTTAAAGTGATAGCTGACATTTTGAAAATGTAATGAATAATTGAGAAAAAGGATACAAGTTTAACTGATAGCTGATAAAATTGCCAAAAATGCATCTGAGACTCTATTGCACCTATTCAGACCTTCTGATCATGAAGTAGCCAGCTCTATTGGGAGAAATTGTCTTAGAATTTGTAACCTCTGAAAAATAGGATTTCGTCAAGACAAATACATCGCAAATAGCACAACAGTACCCCAGACCATTATAAAGCAACTGAGAGAAAACAACAACAACTGCAACAATAATACGAACTAGTACTGTAACTAAAAAACAAATATATGCGTTTGAATATATGACAGTGTGTTACGAATGCATGCCAGTTTTATAACCTATTGGAAAGTAAAATACCTTCACAGACGGGAAAGGTTCCAATCCAATTGCCATCTGCACCACAAGTCAATGGACTGTCTCCTACCATAACATAACCAGTGTAACATCTCAAGATGCATCCTTGTTGGTAGACCTGTGGTGTTTGCACGCATTCCACTGGTTCTGTCGAACCAAAAGCCAGTTGTCGTAGCGCTGGACACTTGCGAGCTAAGAGATGGATATAATTAATTATATTTATAATTAATTGTTTGTTTGTTTTGGAATCTATCTTGTCACTTTAGTCTTCTGCATGGGACAATGGCGAAAGATAGTCTCGTTTCAATAGAAAGTTTAGCTATATACCTTCACAAGTTGTTTGCGTTCCTGACCATTGTCCGTCGGCTTGACAAGTTCTCGTAGCGCTTCCACTCCGTTCGTATCCCACATCACATGCAAAGTTACAAGTATTACCGTACTCATATCCATTTCCAGAGCAAGTCTTGGTGCCATGAGCTTGTAGTGGCAGAGGTGAGCAAGTGATAACTGCAATAAAACATATCAAGGAGGAGATACGCGGTAGCACGTAGGGAATTATGGTTTATTGTTTGCAGTTAAAGGGAAAGGTGGAGATTCTTATTGCATGAATGAACGGATGAACTTACGAATGAATTTGTGGATGAAAGGATGGATGGATTATTGAATAAATGGATGGATGAATATATAGCTAGATGGATGGATGGATGGATGGATACGTGCATGGATGGATGGATGGATGAATGATTGAATGAATGAATGAATGAATGAATGAATAATGAATGAATGAATGAATGAATAATGAATGAATGAATGAATGAATAATGAATGAATGGAGAATGGGACACGGCGACAGTTAGCACTTGAAAAATCCATCATAACGACAGAGAACTTACTGTTGCATTGTACTGCCGTGCCACTCCAAGTCTTGTCGCTCTGACATCTGCGCGAACTTGAGCCCACCAGATTGTAACCAGTATTGCAATCAAATTCACAAACACTATTGTATACTTTATCACAGGCTGCCTTAAAGAAGCCATTGGAAGGTGCACTAAGTTGCTCGCATTGAACAGCTGAAAATAAACAATATAGCAAAAGGACGGAGGACAGTTCAGTTTGAATGTAGTGGACCGAGCAGAGGGCAAACGGTGCCAATGAAGTGCGATTTCCTAAGCATACACTTTGTCACCAGACACCCTGATATTAGATATAGATGGTATTGAGCTACCATTTCGTTTTCGTCCGAAGGTGGAAAATATTGTTCGACTTCTCCCTTTACAATAATTGCAGAAATCCTTGCGCGCTCATTGGCTAACCTTCATTGTCAATAAGAGGACCGACTCTATAACCTACGCGATAATTTATTTTGAAAAAAAGAATGACGTCAGTTTTTTATGCGTTTGTCCTGTTATTGACAATGAATCTCGTCATGACATTGTCAACGTAGTCTGGGGATCCACTCGACCATCGCCTCGTGGATCCAAAGCTACTTTGACAATTCATTGCCAATAACAGGACCGACCCATGAAAAACTGAAGTCAATTTGTCAATTGTTTCACCAAGAGAGAGATCTACAAAATTGTAATGATAGAACGAGAACAATATTCTCCAATACAGACGGAAAAAGCTAGTTTAGCTCTTTCCGATACTGTGCTGATTAACTAAAGCATCCTGCACATGAACAGGACGTCCCAACTGATTGAATTCATACAGTCAACTCTCTCGTAAGTGACCATCCTTGATGCACGACTAAGTGGTCGCTTACGGGAGGTGGTCGCTTGCGGGAAAAATCAACAAAATACGCCCAATGCTGGATTAATTGATCAATTTCCTAAAGATATGACCTTATCGGCTAAAATTAGGTCAATAGAAACTAAGTTGTTGTTTTTTTTTCTCATGCAACAATTTTCGGGAAAAGTACAATAGAGTGTACAGGGCAATGTGTCTTTTATTTGATCATTGTAACAATTCCTGTTTACCTCAAGATCTAATTACAGACATCTTCTTTGTATGTTAATTGTTATTATCTGTTATCAGTCCGGTTAGTACAGTGTTATTAAAAACTGAACTTTTGTCACTTTTGAATAAAGATTTTCTAACGATCATACCTGATCATGTTGGGTGGTCGCTTACCGAAAACAGAGAGAATATGCCAAACTTCTGGCCTGAAAACTGGTCGCAGTCGCTTACGAAATTTGAGTAGTGGTCGCTTAGGAGAGAGCTCTTGGAACAGTATTTGACTGAGAAACAAAACAGTTATTTACAAAGTTGTCTCATACGGGAGGTGGTCGCTTACGAGAAGTGGTCGCTATTAGAGAGTTGACTGTTCTGTGGCTTTCAGAGCGATTTCGCTAAATTTTAACTAAAATCATCCGCCGAATATTAATAGAGGATGGAAGATTTGTACTTAATAATAGAATACTCCGAGAGAATACTTTCTTTTGTGCCATGCCTTTAAAAGTATTCCACCGAAAATAATTCGTGAGCGGCAGAGGTCCTTCAGTACAAATTGCTGGACTCTCAGGGAACCAGACAAATCTATCCTTTTCAATGTGGAGCAATTCAGTTGCTACCTAATGACATCTGTTGTTGGACTTCCTCTTGTTATTGAACACTGATAGTTGCTTCTTTGATTTTGGACACTTTTGTTGGACACATATCTTACGAGACATTTCAGTATGTAGTGTTTGGCAAACCGTACGTCCGGAATAAGACGTTAGACAAAACCTGCTAAACCGGTATGGTGAGTATAATCATCTTGAGATATTTGCTCTCATATTCTTAGCGTTAGCGTGGATTGGACGCCCTCTTTTTGGACATTATTTTTATATCGTGAGGACTGCTTGTNCTACGTCCGCCCATGAGCGCTTAGGAATGCTTATAGAGACGCTTTCCAACAACTTTGTTATCATTTGAATCGATCTCGTCAAGAGATAATAAATCCCTTGGGCGTGAGGTGAAAGTACATATTTATTTATTTATTTTTCTTATGGTGAATAAACCTCAGGAAAGGAGCTAGTAATTATGACACTGACGTATGGCATGAATATTGTCAAGAAGCGTTTCGCAAATCTCCTATATCCAGAGGCAAATAAGAAGTTTATTGCATACATACATCACATCATTACCTGTGCAAGCAATGTCTTTTGAAGGATCTCCTTCGTAACCTTGAAAGCATTTACATTGGCTTTTCAGAATGCTGCCTGTGGAGTCCGTGGTGGAATGGGCTGGGCATGGTAGACACTGACTCGGGGTAGCCCATTGTTTGTAGGTTCCTCGAAGACAAGCTGAGACAAAGACGACACAGAAAATTCACAATAGGTAAGCTATACCGGTGCTACAATGAAAGTTAATTTACAAACTTAAAATGATAGTACTTCAAGATGGAGCCACATTAGCCCCGCTAGTTTTCATACGGGTACTCCATCCAGTTGGAATTAAACTTTGGAAATATTGATTTGTAAGAAGGAAGAAACCCGGAGTATCCGAGCAAATATCCTCACGGCATGGACGAGAACCAACAACAAACTCAGACCTTCATATGACGCCTGGCCCGAATCGACCCAGGCCACACTGTTGAGGTTAGCGATCTAGATGTTTCACGGCGCCAATCCCGCACTCATAAACTAAGGGAATACATTTTTACTTAGCTACAACTATCTATTTATTAAATGTCATTACATGTATTTTGTAATAACTTATACACCTATATAGTGGTCTAGTACTAATTTATCAAAGAACGTGAACTTAAAAAAGGTCGGAGCCGTTATCGCTGCTAAAAGTGTCTGTTGGTGGTGTTATTTTACTTAGGATGCGAGTCATATGATGCAATGCAGTTCGTACGCCATTTGCAGGAAGTGTTTATGGCGGAAGAAGTGTTTAGCAGCCAAGGAGAACAATGTGATCGTCACCTAAAGCGATCGCAAGGACTACATTTCCACCAAAACCAAAATTTGACATCAAAAATGGCTACCAGAAAACTATAAACCACGAGGCCTACATTTGGGCCACTGTCACGTGAAAATGATTCTAGATATGCAATACGTGCAAAAAAACTAGACTTAATATGAAACTACCACGAACTAAAGTCATCCTAGTCGCGTCGTCGGTGACAATCATTGTTTCTTTCTTTGCAACCAGATAAAATAATATTAGAAAGGATTTACTGTCTTTTTCTTTCATTCGGGAAATGAAGTGGGTTTTCATTAAGCAACCTACCAATTACAGTGCACAGTTGTTTCTCGCCACCTTCATCATTGCCACCATATTTATCAACAACAACAACAACAACAACAACAACACAATGATTTATAATAGAGCAGTTTTCAATTGAGTGTTGAAAAACCAAAACCGATGTAATCAATCTAGCCAAGCACAAAGGACACAGACAATCCAATGAACTAATCAAAGCTCCAGTCTTTTAAGGCAATGGCTTAGCGCAGTAATGCAAAAACAATTACTTTTCGACACTCAAACGAGAACCGCTCTAATAATAATGACAGCAACAGTAACAATTGAAATAATCATGACCTGGATAAATATAGCCTTTAATTGGAAATTTAGTACTGAATAAGGCCCAGGGCCGAAAACCCCAGGAAGGGGACTCCTAAATAAAAAAGACTGGGGTGCTCAGCGGAAATTTTGAAAAGAACCTCTAAGAAGTACCAAGATCCTGTTTTGTGGGCGTGGCTTGAAATGTTTTTCACCCCTGTGAGGTACCAATTCTATAACAACAAACTATCTCCGTCCTTCTTATATGGGAGTTCCCCCCCCGGGCCGAAAACAGTCTGCTAAATATATACTTGATTTTTTGGCAAAATTTCATTTAAAATTTATAACTTTTAAACTATTTATACTTTGCCACGCAGCACACGGATCCATTTGAATCACCGATATTTGTAATTGTGACATTACCCACCACAAAGATGGTGGAGTATATCCAACAAGATCAATTAACCGAACAAATGCCCGTAAAGTTGCATATCAAGAGACTTACGATAACAGTATCCCGGAATCCCAGCGCCATAATGGCCTTGCTTGCAGACGCATTGGTACACCGCGCTGACTGTTCCGCAGGCACAGAAAGCCTCTGAATCACAGCCATTTCCCGAGTTACACGTGCTGCTGGCCACTTCCATAAATGTCTTGTCGTGAGCATCTGTGAAGTGTAAAATAGATAACGATGTTATATTCCTTTCATTTTGCCGACATTTCTCTTACCGGCCTATATTGGTGCAATATATAGTGATAACGAAATAAATCCATCAAGCCGTAAATTCATCGATGAATGAATGAATGAATGAATGAATGAATGAATGAATGAATGAATGAATGAATGAATGAATGAATGAATTAGTGAATGTATCAGTGATCGAAAAATGAATAAGAGACATTATTTTTTCTGGATGAAAATTTGAGTTCATTCGCATCAATTTTTCCTGCTAGTAACTGGTGTTAAGTAATTTGCCGTAGACCAATTACCATTTTATTTGCTTTACATTAGGCTAGGTTAGATTACCCCCCACCCCGGCCTTGTACGTCCGAGGGTGGCCGCTTCTTGGTGTTAACGAAGTGTCTGTGGAAAGGATTTAGGTAAAGTTTTGAATGACTAGTAGATTTATACTAAAACGCTCTCGATTCCTATGCGTGATAGTTGACTAGGTCCTACGATAGAAATCTCGAGCTCATAATCTAATTGTTTAATGGAAACACCAGTGAAAGTTTCGCAGAACTCGAGGAAAAGCTGTTTCTCGTTCTCCCGAGCTTTCACTCGCGTTTCTATAACTTTACAGAAAAAACGGAGCATGTTTTCTATTTCTTAAACAACAAAGTATTTTTAAAAAACTTGAAACCTCAAAATTTCGCTTAACATTTGCATAAAACTTTTTAGAATAGCATGGGGCAAAAAGTGAAACACAGTTGGGGTAAGAAAGCGAATTTTTGGCTTTTTATTAGATTGCTTTGCATTGCGATATATATTTCCATTTATTTTTAATCCTAAATTTTGGAAAAAAGATATAGACATCTGGCATGAGGCACATCGCTTCAAACTCAATTTAATATAAGGAACTAGTGGAACTTCTGACATATTTAGGCTTCACTGAAATACACTTGGCTACTTTCCCGAATCAATCCATATATATTCTCAACGCTAAGTAAGTCCTGCTGGTCTGTGGAATTCCTGAGGCCTCTTATGATCATTTAATGAGCCGTGGCTGTTTGTCTTTCCAGCCCTGACTGGATGTGACTGCTATATATGCATTACTAAATAGAACTTTGAGAAGGAGACAATTGCAAAGGGATAAAAGCTGTAGGATTGAAATAGTTTTGATCGGTTCGTGAAAGCGATTTGAAATTCGTTTCGTACATCATTTTAAGTTAGCTAAACTGATATGGTCCATGCTAACTGCGGTCTGAGATCATGATAAACTTAAAACTTAACCTTTGTACATCAGTCTTTTGCATTTATCCTACACCTTATACTTTCTAGTATCCTCCGTTGACTTGCTAACGAATTACGTTTTCTTTCATTAATTTGGAAAGCTTTCCTTGCAATTAAATTCAATTGAAAACGTGTAGACGGGTTTTCAATTGAGTGTCGAAACTGATCAGACAACTACTTTGGTTTTGGTTTTCCTGAGATTTAAGGTTG